GGGTCCCACCTAGCACCATCCCTGGCACCCCTCTTCCTGGTGCCCAGGAAGGCCCCTGCACCTCGGTGCACATGCAGTGACCATACAAGCCCCTTGCTCAGCCCACATCTGGCACACAACACCTCCCTGGCTGTTTCGGCACCTGCAAACCATCCAGGGTATGTTCTGGCATCAAAGCATGGAACGACTGCACCCAGGGATCTTCGCAGCTGCCCCAAAAGGGAAGGCTCTGCCCAGGCTGCCCTGGGACATATCTCTTACCCCGACCCCTCACAGCACAGCTGAGAAGCAGCTGTAAGAGCTGGAGCACCCCAACTGCTGTGTGAAGCTTGCCCCCGCGCCCCTGCCCAGCTGCTGGGCTGCACCCCAGCTTCCCCAGAGGCCAAGCCCCCGCAGCCCTTGCTTGGGCAGAGGTCCACGGCCAGCTGGGAGCACCCAGCTCCGATCCTGGCTGGGCTGGGGTCCCTCCCAACACTTCCTGATTCCCCAGCCTTGTTCAGATCTGCTTGGGAAAGCAAACTCCGCTGTCTCTCTGTGCCTCAAATCTCGCCTCCGTCCACCCCATGGGCTGCACCCTTCTTTTTGCTAGTCAGGCTCCAGAGAGACAGGGAAAACTCGGCTCAGGGAAAAAGCCAGCAGCCAGGGCTCCTCCACACATGCTAAGCACGGGGCAAAGTGAGCCCGGCTGCCTCCCTGCTTGGTCCGTGGTCCACAGGCTCCCATGAGCAGCAGGTGTGGAACATCCCGGGGTAGCACCTGCTCAGCCAGAGCTGCTCCTCTGACCATGGGCTAGGGCAAGGCAAGGAGCCCCAGAGCATCTCGGTGGGTGCGCAGGTCTCCTTCCCCTGCACCCTGCCCTTGTGCCCCAAACCCAAGGTCTGCACAAGCCTGCAGGCTTGTTCCTTCACCACGGGTGAGCGCACTGCCAGGCTGAATAGCTGTACTTCGCTGCTGTTTGCCAAAGTGTCAAAGCAGTCACTGTCAGCTATCTCAGCTGTACCTGCTCCAAGGCGTTGCATGGACAGGGACACCAGGGTCGGTCTGGCTGTATTCCCTTCAGGCTCTGAGTGGGAAGCAGGGACAGAAAGTTTTCTGAGCTGTCTTGGAAGTGTTTGATGCACTCTGGCATTCGACTCTTAACCAAGGCAGGGTCTCTGAGCCTGGAAATGCTCCGAAACCCAGAACATGCAGGAACACCCTGAACACAGGTGCTTCATGTTTCCTTAACACGTACAGCTCAGCCAGGACTGGAGCTGAGCAGCCTGCACCCTCTGCTCTGTGGTCTCTGGTTACAGAGGTAAACATTACCCCAGCTCCAGGGAGTGCCAGCTCCCCACACATTGTCTGTGGCCACACCAGGCTCTACCCACCCACCACCGATCCTTCAGCGGGAAGCAGCCCCGGCAACACAAGGGCTTCAGGTCCCAAACCGCTTAGCACGAGCAGGGCTGTGTATTCCCCTGTGACCCCCACTCTGCAACTCCCCCAGCACAGCACGCTCCTTTTTTCCTGCACCACAGGTGGGGGGAGAGGGGTCCTCTCCAGAGGGGCCCAGGGGAAGCATCCCTGCAGATCCACCGCAAGTAGAGCTTGGCCTAGCAGGAGCTGCAGAGGCAGATTTCAGCACAAGGAATGGCATCGCTGCTGCGACCACTCCCCACAGAAATTAAGTATATTTGTTCAACTTAAAGGAAAATAAAAGATTCAGCTGCAATAATAGCAAAACTGAACTGCTAGTAGATTATTAACAGCCTGGCCTGATTTCTGCTGAGGCTGGCTATTCCTGGGGCATGGCAGAGACTGTGGTGCCCAGGGAGAAGTTTAAACACAACCTAAAAAACCCAAATACACCAGCATTGTATAGTGATGAAGAGTTATCCAACAACTGTGTCATCCTACCACACACTGAAACCCCACCACTTGCAGCTCACAGGCCAGGCCAGCGCTGCAGTGTGCAAGAGAGGGGCCAATTTGTGCAGCCAAAGCAAATAGTCTGAATTGGGGGAAAACGCAAACAAACTCCAATACAAGGCCAGCATCTGGGCAGAAGGAAGGGAGTGCTGTGGAAAAAAGTGGGGTTCGGGTAGCTTCAGCTACCCGGGTGCCCAGGGCAGCCTCTTTGTTATGCCACGCCCGCCCACTGCCATTTTGGTCCAAAAACCTTAGTATTCAGCCTTAAAATGTGAAAAAATTGCAAAAAAGCAGCTCAGTCCCTTGCAGAGTTCTCTCTGCAGGTAGCAAATGAAATATGAGAGGGCTGGAGCCCAGCCTGTGCATCTGAGGGGAAAATACTGAGCCGGGTTCGAGGCATCTGCTTCATTCGGGGAAAGATGGATAAAACCCTGCAAATGTCCCAAAAGCAAATGGTGGGGAGGGTGGCCCCACCAAATCTTATTCCTCCAGACCCTCTGCTAGATGGGGATGTGCTCGGTTTCACAAAAAGATAGCCCATTTTGTGGAGCCTTTGAATATTCAAATTGAAAGTATCGCGCAATCATTGATTGTCAAATCATTGGTTTCTAGAGGTTTTAAATACTTGGCATTAGGAGAGAAAAAGTCAAACTTATAACCGTAGGGATAAAACAATAATATTGTCAGGATCCACCTGACATTGCTATCCGGCAAGCAGGTCCCTTCGCCCCCAGATTTTAAGCCTGTTCCCTCTCGCCCCCTTTGCCTGCTGTGGGGCCGGGGCCACCGCTGCAGCCGCACCGGGCGCCCAGGGAGGTGGTGCCCGCTCCAGCTCAGGATGTCCG